ACTCAAGGCCGACGCTTCCTTTTATTTCTTTTTTTCCTTGTCCTTTTAATTATATCTTTTATCATGTTTTCATAGAACTAGTCTATAGATAGTTCTTTTCCTATTTTTTTCTTCATATAAATAAGTAGTTTATTATCGATTTCTACTTCAGTGAAGTCAAATCTTATGTAATATCTCTTCTCTGTAATAGCGTGCATCGACAAGAAGATTAAATTCCTTGTCGGCGCTAGGGTTTTTTTCACCTTTCTATATATAGAACGCCGCTTGGTTTGTTCCATTATCTGTTCTTTTTATCTTTTTACAAACCAAAGTATAAGTTCTCGATCCCGAGTCCGAGGCTTGTTTTTGAACTTATCCACAATCATTCTGAATATTTTTATGTTTGAGAGAATTTTACCCTTCTTCTTCTTTGCCATGGTTGAAGGTGATTTTTTCGGCACAAACAAGGTGAACCCAAATTTTTTTAATTTGTAACATTAAATGTAACATTAAACTGCAGTTTTTCCTATTTAACCTTTATCTCTTTTTACTTTTAATATCATATATTAATGTCAATTACCTATTCTTTTACTTCCAATACTTTTAATGAAGGGCAAGAAAGGTATTATACTTAAAATTAAATTATCGATCTTTGCTTTCTGAATATCTGTGCAAACCCTAAAGCGACAGATAAAAAAAAATGTAAGCAGTATAAATTATAAACTGCATGTAGCTACCATAACCAAAAAAAAAAAAGAAAAAAAGTATACTATCAAAATTATATAAGATATATGGCCATCAAAAGTGTATCCGGCGACCAAGAACAGAATAAATAAGGTATGGCTGTTAAAATTTATGATGCACGACTGTGACGAGGTAAGATCATCTCAAAACTATTAGGTATAACTATTAAAATTGTTTAATTAGTTATTTCACTAGTACCATTCAATGGTATATAAATATCTATGTTTTGAAAACCGTATTGGAAGGCGAACCGACAACTGATTCAATGGTTCACTGGTTTAATCGGTTGGAATCGGTTAATACCGGCTATAAACAATATTTAAAAATAATTTATTTTTAAAATTTCAAAAATCGGTCCAACTGGCATCAGTTCTCGGTCGAAACGCGGTTTCGTTCGGATTTGAATGAATTTGACAGATTTTTAAGTTTGCCGGTTATCAATCGAAATCGAACTGAGGAAGCCCCGATTCCCGGTTGAACCGATTTGACCGCCCAGTCCGATCAGGTTTTCAAAACATAGATAAATATGCCCATGAACAGAGAGCGAGATAAATTGAGCAAGGACTAAATCTCAAGACCGAGTCAAACCTAACGAGTCAAGCAAATCAACACCGTCAATGCGGAATATGTATGCTTGCTAATTTTTTGGGGGACTGTTTCCCTCTGTCAACTTTGTACCTTTCAGCCCTGGCAGCCAGCCTATCATATGTAGAATACGAGATGAGTTGTATAGTTGGGTTAGATTCATCAAGAAATTACCAAAAGGGGAAAGTATTACAAACAAGAACTACTCTTACAAGCCTCTAACATTTCATCAAATAGGCATGCATTTTCCAATGTCTAATTCCCTCAAGTCCCTTGGTATAAGGCATTTTGATTTATCATGATTCCATTTATTCTGTTTTTCTAATTAAAATAAAAACTTAAAAATACAGTTTGACATTTATTATGTTCTATCAATCATTATAAAGTACTTTAAGGTTTTATTTTTATTTTTATTTTTAAGATTTTATTTTCAATTAGAAGAATACAATAAATGAAATTTAATTAGGACAAATTAAAATAAATTATAACAAGGACCGAAGGAAATATTATATATGTTTTTTCCCTTTTTTTTCCTCCTAATTCTTCTAAAACAACGTACCTCACCTCTTCAATCCCATGTCAAAAGAAAAAAAAAAAATTTGCACCATTGATGATCAAATATTATATTATGTGTCTCAATTCAGACAAAAGGGGCACAGATAAACTCAAAACCTAGAAGAGATGAGAGAAACATAAATTAAATCTCTTCTTCTTCTTTTTTTTTATAATGCTTGATTAATAATTATTGCACAAAAAGAGAAAACGGTAGGGGCTCTTACCAGGCACATCTATGGATAGATTAACAAAATAAATTCCATTGAGGGCAATAAACAAACAAAAATGATGGCCATTTTTTTTTTTTTTGGTTCATGCAAACAAACATGAACAAAACAATTTCATCAATGGAAATAAACATCCATCAAAAGAACGAAACCAGACATGCTATGGATCAAATCGGGTCACAAACAAGCAAAAGAAAATTTTCAAAATCTAAAAACCAACCCAGAGCGACATCATAGAATATCATGGAGGCCTGAACTGTGGTGGCTAGCTCTAATTGTGGGAGGATTGGAGTCAACGGTCATATATGGACTAGCCAAAAGGTCTCATACTAACTTGAGGAGTGGTAATTTTCAATGTTGCCAAACCCGCAATGGAAGACAAACCAGTGAAGTTAAGGGGTCACAGGGTCAATCCCATTAGCCCAGGATTAAAAATCAGAGAAAATTGGTATGACGTCATATATAAATTTAAATTTAAAACATATCAAATATGTGAAATGTAAAGTTATTAATATTAATACATTACTTATTATATTAAAAATTTAAACAAAACATAACAATTTAAAGGTAAGATAGACAAAATTTCATTTTAAAAAAATGATTTTAGAGTTATAAAATTTAATTTAATTAATTAAAGGTAATATTATTTAAAAACCAATGTATTTCACATCAAAAATTTGATAATTATTAATATAAGATCAAAATTTGGGTCTCAAAGTAATATAAAACTTAAATTAGGAGACCATGCAACAAGAAAACAAAGAAAAAGGACTACAATGCCAAAAGGAAAAAGTCAACAAAAAGGAAAAGGACAAAACCGAGGTTAACCGGTTCAGTTCGGATCCCGATTGAACCGCAGGTTTGACCGGGTGTTGACCGATTTGTTATCAGTACAGTTTTGAGTCAAAATCGGACCGGCAATGTGACCGATTCGCGGTTGAACCTGTCCGACCAGCCAGTCCGGTTTTGACAACACTGGTACTTTTTTTTTATTTTTTGAAAAAAGAATCCCAGTCAATAGGCTACGGATCCTAGGTTTTATTCCAATTAAAAAATAGTCTCCAAGGGCAGTGCTTCTAACTAACTCTTGGGAGTTATAGAAAAAACGATGTATCAAAACGTCTCAAATCCTACTGCCTGTATAGTACAAAGAAATTTGAGGAACTATATTATTCTAATGCAAACATATGGAAAGAACCGTTGATCCAGGATCACTAGCCCCTTGGTGTTAATTGGAATATCTTGCAGAGATGTGAAAACTTGACATAAGCCATCAGAAGCTTTCTTTGCCAAATTGTCTGCAACCGAATTAGCTTCAAGATAAAGATGCTCTATAGAATAAAACCGCCTATCCAATATTGCCAGAGTTTCAGAAAGAGATGAGATGTGCTGGCAAGGAAAATCTCGACCCTTCTTCAATAGCTCCACTAGTACCTTATTGTCAGTCTGTACCAGAACTGGATGCAAACCCAAATGCTTACATTTCCTCAAACCAAATAGTAAACCTGCAATTTCTGCCTCAAAGCTATCAACATCACCCAGAAAACTCAACTCAACATAAACAAAGATACCTCCCCCTCCCCGAATTATGAACCCATAGCCAACACCTTGACCTCTTGAAGAACCATCCGTGTTCAAGATAAAAGTCCCTTCCAATGGCGACTTCCAACACACAGGGATGTAAGTTCTTTTTAAAACCCTACCATTCCGTACAAGAAAACGCCTTTCCAAAAAATCCAACTTCGCTATTGATTTGCTTGGCATCACATGTACTTGTAAAATATCAGAGACATGATTTTTAATCTTGCGAACTAGCACATGATCTGAAGCAACCACCCCCTCAAATAAGACCTTGTTGCGCAGCTTCCATAGCTCCCAAATAATCAAGGAAGGAACCAACATCCTTAAAATTTTCAAGGCAATAGAAAAATCTCCCTTATACCACCAGGCAATCAGAACATGATCTAGGGTTTGCTTATCAAGCAAGCATACATAAAACATTTGAGCAAACAAACCCCACACTCTATGAGAAAAAGGACACCCAAAAAAACAAATATAAATTTCGTCATTAGAAACTTTACAAAACGGGCAAACAGAAGGGTACACCTTGCCAACCAATCAGGCGTAAGGTTTCTGGAAGAGGCAGCAAAAAATTCATCAATCTCCACATGAAGAGAGAGATCTGCGTGGGAAATCGCTGATTCCATATATTTTTCAGCAGAGGCTCCTTCAACTTCCTCCTTCTAAATCGTTCATAGACTATTTTAATGGAAAAAGCACCAGTCTTGCATGGTTTCCAGATGCGGATATCCGGCTCCTCATCAAATTCAAGCTCCAAAGAGTTAAGCAGCACTAAAGTCCCTGCTTGCAAAACATGAGCAAATTCTGCCAGGAAATCTTGCCTTCTATGAAAAAATTGCCGGATAGTAAGATTACGTCTAGGAGGAGACCAACATATCATCCCAGAGAACCCCCATAGTTTACATATCGTTTTGGTTAATTGTAATACAATTGGTTGTGTTTCTATATTTAGCTGGCTAGCCTAGCATCATCATCATCAGATAATTAACCTCATCATTATAATTGCACATCTATTTTCCTTTTCATTTTTTTAAGTACAACTCATTAGTTGTACTCCTTGATGTCGTGCCGTCTTAAGTCAATTATTTACTATTTTTTACATCAATTATCCAAAATAATATTATGTTATTGTTCTTTCTTTTCCAAAGTAATTGTTTTAATTGGATCTTGACCTATACTAAAAAAACAGGACAATCATTTTGGGACGGAAGGAAGCAGCACTTGGAAGTGAGATACCTGAGATGCTGGGGATTACTGGGAGAGTGGAAGTGAGGATGAACTAGGACCTTGGGGTAATCCCTCCAAAAAAAGGTTTGCTCTTTGGAAGCATTAAAGCTGGTTCCATATCTGATGGGGTCTAATAACATGCTTAGTCTGATATTCCATCTTCTCCGCTTCCGGCAAATCGAAGAACTCGTCAACCACCGCTGTTGTTGCCTCAATCAGCGCTTCCGGGATGCCATGATTCACCACCTAAGAATTAACAAAGTTGAAACAAACATCATTAAAATTCTCCTTTAATAAAATTCTCCATGATATTGAATGCATATTCATGTATATACCATGAAAAATCCCCACTCTTGGCAAGCTTTCCCAAGGTCCTGCATTAGTTGTAGACGCTGATCGGGGTTAGTGGAGCTTAGAAGTGAAAAATCTATGGTTGGAACTGAAATGGGCACGAAATGTTCTTGGTTTGAGGCGGTAGGAAATTCGATGTTGGCGCCGTTGTGGGCATATTTTGGAGGGATGGAACTGAGACCTGGTGATCAGCTAATACTTTAACGCTTGAAAGATTTGATATTGTTTCAATAGCAGAAGCCATTGGAAGAATGGAAAACTAAAGATAGCGAGAGCAGTGGGGAAAAAAACAACTATTCTTTACAAAATGTGGGCTAGCTGGTGATAAGTTGGCATATGGGATTGGATTGTAAAGATGGTGCCTTTTTATATTGTTTTAGAAGCTCACTCAAAGTAGGGAATCAGTAATTTGGTGCTAAATTAATGAAGTACTTTCCTGTCCAGAGAAATGGTCCTTATCAAGTTTTAAAATTTATATTATATTTAGTACAAATGTTAAAAGCTCAAGGTAAATTTTTATAATCAAATTTTAAAAAAAATAATTATTCCCGATCGTGATTAGGGTACGTATATATCATAATCAAATCAATAAAAGTAAATTGTGTGTATGCCGAAGAACTAATTTCGAGCGACAAGGGGCCTATCAATTGACCTTCCGACAATCGTTCGACGATACGTAACACGGAATATATTCTATACTAGATTGGTAAACTGGACAGAGCGATCACTGTAGCACCAGTCAGCCGGCATACGTAGTGACAATTTAAAAGGTTGTGTTATAGGTTTTTAAATCTTTCAAGTGGAACCTTAAATACAATATTAGTTAGCTAGCATGTTAACTTTTAGTTACAATATTAGTTAGCTAGCATGTCCCCAAAGTGGCTTTAGGGTTGGGTAGAGATATTGTGAAATTGAGATTGTTTTTGAAGTTATATTAGTTTTGAATTCCGGGCAGCGGGCCAAGCCGAGTCAGAAAGGATAAGCTATATGGTTTTTGGTAATGCTAGAAAAATGCAAGTGTAGTTTGTAAGCTAGTTTGTTAGGCACATGATCCATCGCATCATTCCCCATTTTTAAAAGAAAACTGCGGAAATGGCTGAGATGGAGAGGCAACTAGTTATATGAATAAGGGGAGATTTTCTTTATATTTGAAAGGAAGTTTGTTGATAATTTCTTACACTTGAAAAGGTATCAAAAGGAGTTGTTGATAGTTTTTTTTAATTTTATTATTATTATTATTATTATTATTATTTTTTGATTAAGAGTTGTTGATAGTTTCTTCTGTTGTTTTTTTTTTTCATTAAGTTGTTGATAGTTTCTTTTGTTTTGTTTTTTATTTATTTATTTTTATTAAGAGTTGTTGATAGTTTCTTAAACTTCAAACGGTATATCAATACATAGTTTGTCTGTACCTCAAAGGGAATCCAATCAAGGCCTGTCAGAAATGAAACACTACACAGAAGAAAAGACATTAATGTGAACGTTTCCTATAATCATGTATTGGAGTTGCATCTTGGGCCAATGACAAAACATACATAAAGAAAAAAGAAACAAAAACCATTGTAAGGAAATCGACGGGATTCAAAAATATAAAATAAATCCAGTTTTTACAACAAAAAAAAATGATAATAATAATTAGTATCTTTAAAAAAATATTCTTTCATATTGTAAATTTTGTTCCAACCTATATCAATCAAGAAATAAATGATTTTTTCTTTTTTAGACGAATGGAGTAGCTATCGAATACTATGAAACCTAAATTGTTTCCGACTTCTTTTTATGTTACGAGTCCAAATTAGTACGGCCCGCGATTAGGCCGGCCCAAGTTTGGTGAAAGGTCCAACCGGTCTCTAGAAGCTTCTAGGTCGATTCCTAATTACTTTCCTACCAAGAAAGGGTTCCATAACCTAACTCTATAAATACGGATCAACCTTCACGGTTAAAGGTACGGTCTATGCACCCAACTATATACCCTTATTGCAATTATTCTTACTGACTTAAGTATCGGAGTGTCTACCCTCGGGAGACCCCGAAGCCCTCTTTTGCAGGTTCTAGGGTTTCGTATTCACCATAGCCGCCGGTTCAATCAGCTAGAAACATCGATACGAATTCATGCTTCGTCAAGTGGCACGCCCGGTGGGACCCGCTTAGGGTTTTTCACTCCGACAAATTTTTCTTGCGAAGAATGTGAAGTTTGGGGGTACGTCTCCTTCCGATTTGAATACCTGATTATCGTAAGTCCTATAATACACGTTGGCAATCAGGTTTGTCTTGACCATGTCTTCATTTTTTATGTTGGCCGGCAGCCATTGCCTTTTTGGATCAATCACTTGATTTGCCATCATATGTTATCTGCGATTATTTATTATGCAAAGCACGTTAGAATACTAGTCTTTGCTCACATCTATGACATGGATCGAATATGATATCCAGCTTTCAAGTTAATCCAACATCCAAATTAATCGTTTTTTGCATGTCCTCGAGAAGGGTATCGGCCCGATATGTTTTCATAACTTATATGATGAGGCAAGTTGTCCAGGATTTAGTCTTTAATATTCTGATTGATGCCACTATGAATTAACCTGTATGCCTCTCATTACAAGTAACTTTAGCGGCTGAAGCTTCCATAAACTTCATGAAGAAAATTTGTTGAGGTCTAAATCACTTATTATGGTGATGGATTTCGTCTATCAATTCATATATTTTAATGCGCTCGATTACTATTTACATACACGACTGTATGAACCTTTGTTTAACTCTTTCACAAATATATGCCAACATGAATATGAAACCTCTTAGAGTCAAAAGGGGATTTTCATGTTAAATTTTTGAGGATATGACCTATAATTACTTATGGCCAAAAGTGTATGAACAGTTTATCAAAAGCTTGTGCTTTTTAAAGGCAATGGTTTTTTTTTTTTTGTGAATTTAGATGCCTAATTTGATGTGGACATTGTCAACATTTTGATACATGTGCTTAGCATACAACTGGATGTCAATTTGGTTCAAGCTAGTAATTACGAAGTCAACATAAACTTGGGACTAATGATTAGGTTTGTTAAATACATGCCTACTCGAGGAATGATTACACATATTATTTCTAATCCTTTTTTTTGGAGTTCATTAGTCAAAACTGGCTTCAAGCTTCAGTTCTCGGGACATGCGTCTCTCCTCAACATTTAAATCAAGCACCAGTTTAGCTAAATCATGAGCATGCAGCAAGGTTCAGACAACTACAACCTTCAACCTCTGAGGTTTCACACCGCGCGTCAGATGCCAGGACAAGAAATCAAGAATTCACAGGAACTGGCGGTCTTCGACTTTTTTATCGACATCAACCAATTCACAGATTGGCCGAGAAAGAAAAGTTTTGACTCAACATCGATAAACAAGGAACGGGTCGAGCAGCTCCCTAAAACTAATCGTCAATTAACGAAAGCACCTTAGCAGCAGCGGCAAAAATTCGTGCCCAGTCGAGGAAGACTTGATATATTTCAATCTTACAATTCATTCCCTATTAATTATATTTGTTATGATCTTCTCTTTCGAGACTGTATAATTTTGCAGATTATCCCTCTCAATTTCAAAGGAAGCGGCAATTCGAGACTGGTGTCAAGACACATCTCTTCAACGGGGCAAGCATCCCTTGAACAACGTACTACTACTAGGAATATCTGGGATGACGTATCTTGACATCCAACCACTAATACAAACATCCTAGGAGCATAGCTTCCTCGGATGTTTGAATATAAGGTCGTTCATTGCCGTTCAGAAGTACAGGCTGGGCCACCTCTTCCTACATAATTACACGAGACAGAGGCCCTAATGACAGATAAGTTATCGTAGCCTTCTATTATAAATAAGTTCATGTCATACATCATTGCCTTCCGAACTTATTCAGTTTGAGGGTGTTAAGTTTATGTCTCAAGCATCATTATGCCTAACTACACATATTGTGCTTCCTTGAGCCTATTGTTACTACAGTATGATAGTAGTAGTATGCCGATTGCATGTAACCTAGCTAGCTTTTCACGACATACTTATATGAATCAATATCTCTTTTCCATCACAACCATCATAGAGGTTTTTTGATAAGTTTTTCAATAACATTACCAAATTGAATTGCATGCACAGCTCACCGATTTGGGGTACTACTTGTCCTATTCTTATATCAGAATGTGACATTTGCATGCTTACTTCATTTTAACCGTGCATAATTCTTGTATGCTCGCCAAGGGTCCAACCACCTTGTTATTAGAACAATAACTTTTTGTCTAAAGTGAACAGCTATACAAGCATAGCTCAATTTTTTGGGAGACCGAGGGCACATACACTCGTGATCACACAGTTTAGCACTATGACAAGGGTGGAGACAATCCCCTCGACTGATTTGAAAAGAGTAACCTGCCCGAGAGTAGCGCAGTTGTACTACTTGGTTTTGCAGGTCTTACAATAAGACAATTCGAGGAGCATCCTTCTCGAACCACGAAGCAACCCATTCCAAGGGGAAATGACCTGCTCGAAAAGGAAGATAAATGTTATTATCTCATTGGAATTTACATGTTCTATGGCTATTATCTCCTTGCATAAATAGCATATCATATGAATTAATATCTCAAATGTAGACTACAAGTCAGATAACTTAACTTATTCTCTGTACATGCAATGTGTAAATTTGCTAGTTTTTGTGTCATTACATTCATGATCAACCATTACCTAGCCTTGCTAGTTTTTGTGTCATTACATTCATGATCAACCATTACCTAGCCCTCACACGCACCATTTCTTAAGCTAAAATCACAGTGTCGTGACATCTATGCTTTCTCGAGTGGAGAATAATTGCTACTTGCGATCTTGATCTTGACCATAGCACATTATGACAATTGCCTCCGTATTTCTCAAAAAGCTGTTACTATATAATCTTGAGAATAGTTATACAGGTCCTTCTATCACAAAGGCATGCTCGATTTTGGGGAAACTTCAATCTATTTTTGGAGAACTTGCAGAAATGCGAGAACAAGGATAACCCCTCTATGATCCAAGAGTGTGGTCAGGCCACAGTGGCCTCCAACAAATAGAGGACCACTACACAATGCATGTCAAGAACAAGTTCCCTCGACAACAACGATGAGTCTCTCGACAAATGGGTATTACTACTCTAACATGAGGATACCCCTGGAAGAGTGCCAACAGATAAGTGATACGATTTTCTTACATTATTATTCCTAAATATACGAACATCTG